TAGACTTCACACTTAACCCCATATAGATAATGTCTCCATTGCTTTAATGCAAACACTACTGCAGACAACTCTAAATCATGGGTCGGATAATTATGTTTATGCACCTTTAATTGCCTAGAGGCATAAGCAATTACATTCTTCTCTTGCATTAGCACTGCACCCAAATCGGAATAGGATGCATCACAGTAAACAATGAAATTCTTACCTTCCACTGGCAGGGTAAGAACTGGTGCAGTAGTCAACAAGGTCTTGAGTTTCTGAAAGCTTTCTTCACACTCGTCCGACCATACAAATGGAACACTCTCTAAGTCAAATTTGTCAATTGGGAAGCAACAGAGTAAAATCCTTTGACAAATTGACGGTAGTAGCTAGCTAAAACAACAAAACTCCTTAAAAGGTAACATTAGTAGGTCTTACCTAACTCTTCACTGCTTTGATCTTAGAAGGATCAACCATCACTCCATCCTTAGAAACCACATGCCCCAAGAAGGACATTGAATCTAGCAAAAACTCACACTTGGAGAATTTGGCATAATGCTTTTTCTCCCTCAACATTTCCAACACAATTCTCAAGTTCTCCTCATGTTCTTTCCTGCTCGTTGAGTATACCAGTATATCATCAATGAATACAATGACAAAAAGATCCAGATATGGCTTAAAAATCCTGTTTATCAAGATCATGAAAGCAGGGGCATTCGTAAGCCCAAAAGACATTACTAAGAACTCATAATGCCCATACCTGGTCCGAAAAGCAGTCTCTGTCACATCTGTTGCCCGTATTTTCAATTGATGATAATCAGATCTCAAATCGATTTTTGAGAAGGTACAATAACCTTGTAAGTGATCGAACAAATCATCGATGCGAGGAAGAGGATACTTGTTCTTAATAGTTACCTTATTCAGTTGCCTCTAGTCTATGCACATCCGAAAACTTCCATCCTTCTTCTTCACAAACAAAATAAGAGCATCCCAAGGGGATGCACGTGGTCTAATAAAGCCTTTTCCTAACAACTCTGTAAGTTGGGCCTTTAACTCCCTTAACTCAGCGGGAGACATTCTATAAGGGGGTATGGAAATGGGGCGAGTACTCGGCTCCAGATCAATACAGAAATCAATATCTCTATCCGGTGGCATACCAAGAAGGTCTGCGGGAAACACATCCAGAAACTCGTGGACTACCGAGACAAACTCAATCGAAGGTACTTGGGATGTATCATCCCTGAGATGTGCCAAAAAAGCTAAACAACCCTCATTAACCATTCCCTTAGCACGAAGAAAGGAGATAATATTTATGGAGTGGAAGTGTAGTCACCCTCCCATACTAACGGATCTGTCCCAGGCTTGGCCAACGTTACACTTTTAGCACTACAATCTAAGATTGCAATATTTGGAGAAAGCCAAGTCATAACAAGAATTACATGGAAATCAACCATTTCTAGGATAACCAAGTCTACATGAGTATTGCTCCCCACAAAAGTCACAAGACAAGACCTATATACCTTCTCAACTATCACAGACTCACCCACCGGAGTAGAAACACGAATAGGCATGTCAAGTAAATCATAATGTAAATCAAGACCAGTAGAAAATGAGGAAGATACATATGAAAATATGGATCCAGACCTCCCGGGGAAAGCATACCAATGGGCCCTATCACCTGTCTACCCGTTGCCCCTACCATGTTGTGCTGTAGTATCTCCGGCTTTCCCGCCACCCCGGTTGGTTTGGTGACCACCATTACCTTGACCACCACGTCCTCCAGAATTGCGGCCTCTCCCATAACCACCTCTACCTCTGACTATTAGGGGTCTGTAACTCTGTTTTGGACAAAACCTCCTAATATGTCCAGTTTCTCCACATCCATAACACTCTTTGTAGTCAAGCATAGGTCTCTGTGAGAACGACGGATTCTGGGGATAACCTCCAAACTCAAAGAAATGTTGACCGGTCTGCGGTGGGCCCCAGCTACAACTTGCAGTGAAGACTGAATGGGTCGTGCTGGGTAACCTCCTGAACTCTGCCCTCTGGAGTAAGACCAACCAATCTCACCTCCTTTACGGAACTTCTTAGATGTCGACACCAGGGTGAAGTCGTTTGGCTTCACCCCCTCCACCTCTATTACGAAATCAACTACTTCCTGAAAGGATTTTGCTGCAGCAGCTACCTGTGAGGCTGGGATCTGCAAATCTGACCTAAATCCCTTCACAAAATGACAAATCCGCTCTTATGGACTGAAGCAAAGCTGGGTGGCATACCTGGATAGTGCATGAAACTTAGCCTCATAAGCAGTAACCGACATCCTGCCTTGCTCTAGGCTAAGGAACTCATCTCTCCTACTATCCCTCAAAGTCCGGGGTATATACTTCTCCATAAATAAGCTAGAGAATGATGCCCAAGTCATAGGTGGTGACTGTGCTGGTTGACACTCAACATATGACCGCCACCACGTTTTGGCGTTGCCCTGAAACTGATAGGTCACAAACTCAATGTCAAATCGTTCTACTATGCCCATCTTACGTAGCAGCTCATGACAATCAACCAGGAAGTTATAGGCATCCTCAGATTCAGCACCCTTGAAGACTGGAGGTTTCAATTTCAAGAACTTAGTGAAAAGTTCATGCTGATCACTCTTCATTATAGGCCCTGTAGTCAATCGAGGAAACATATCTATTTCCAATGAGGTATCCATGCAGGGAGCCACAGCAGCTGCATGTTGTACTCTCGGAACCTGAGGTGCTGGTGCAGAAAACACTGGAGGTGTCTGGCCTTGATCAAATAACCCGCTAAGATAAGCAAAACCTGGTTAATCATCTCTCGGTAGGTTGGGATGGTAATTTCTCATCTTGCACTTGCTCATTTTCCCCTTCCTCACCCTCTCTTACTACCTCATCAGTCGGTGGAGGAGTCACCGCCCTAGTACTGGCTGGACCAGGTCTTTGTCCTCTTCTTCTAGAGGACGTCCTCCCGTGAACTCTACGACGACCTCTTGCCACTGCTTCTCTTCGAGCTACAGCCCTAGTGGCTGGTTCAGACGTACCCTGTCTTGCCGGTGTTGGTGTTGGCACAGTTGTTGCTCTAGTTCTAACCATCTGCGAAATAGAGTGAAGATGGTCAGATACCAATTTGTATCACCTAGATACCAATTGGATCCAAGTAATATCACGAAAGAAAGAAAGAATGGAATTTTCCTTAAGTCCTATAGCCTCTCAACTCGTTCTTGTGTGATGAGACCAACGAACCTAATGCTCTGATACCAAGTTTGTCACGACCCAAAATGAGCCGCGAGTGGCACCCACACTCATACTCCTATGTGAGAGAACCAACAAATCTAAACCCCAACATTCACCAACACTTCAACCATTATGAACAAAATATAAAGCGGAAGAATCAAAATCTTATTAATATAATCAGTACATAAGCTTTTAAAAGTTTATAAACTATTATTCCCAAAACCTAGAAGTCATCACACCAAGAACATCTATCCTCAAATTTCTAATTCTAAGAGTATTTAAGAAACTAAAATAAGCAAAGAGATGGTCCATGTCCGAACTTCAAGACATCAAGACGTGAAGGAGAAAGTCCAGTCCGAGCAAGAAATAGTAGCTCACCCTGAATTCTGATATACTGATGACTGGCTACAGTTGTGGACGAGTCGAAGTCGATGGTACGTTTGCTGCACTCCACAAATTACAAAGAGAAAAATAGAAGTAGGGGTCAGTACAAGGAACACGTACTGTGTAGGTATCATCGGCCAACTCAAAATAGAAAGCAATATACATCTAGTAATAATATAAAATCAACTACAATACTCAACAGGTGGCAACAACAAGTACAAGAACCATTGGCAACAACACCAAGCACACCTATGAGGACTCAAGCCTCCACACCATACTCATTTGGGAAAAAGGTTCTTTAAGTTTAAGTATATTACCATAATTCAAGATTCATTCTCTTTATTCCTCTTGTGTCGGAACGTGACACTCCGATCCCCTAATACTACGTGTCGGTTCGTGACACCTGATCCCCTAATACTACATGTCGGTTCGTGACACCCGATCCCCTAATACTACATGTCAGTTCGTGACACCCAATCCCCTTATACTACGTGTCGGTTCGTGACACCCGATCCCCTAATACTACGTGTCAATTCATGACACCCGATCCATTAACCTCATTCTTTTAGTTCATCAAGACTTCTTTTATATCAAGGCATAATCATTAATAGAGTGGATTTAAGGGTTTTAAGATTCCACAGTACCATCATTATAATCCATCACCATTTACATAATCACAACATGCAACAACACAATTAAGCATATAGAAGACTTTACAATACAACCCAATACATATCAATCGTTATTTAGAGTTTACTATGAAATAGCATAAACCATAACCTACCTCCACCGAAGAATCGTGATCAAGCAAGCTATTTCTCAATGCCTCTGCTTTCCTCTTCGCTTCTCTCTTTTTCTTGCTCGTTCTCCCTCTCTTTCTATCTCTTTCTTTCTTCTTTTACCCTAATTATCATATAATTCAATATGATAAAAGTAACCCATTATTTATTTTAAGGTTATCTCCTTTAACCCTCAGGTAAGTAAGTTATTAAGCTTACACACCAATTTCATACAGTTTGTCATAAATAGTCCAAAACACCCCTTAAAACTTTTAGCATAAATCCGACCCAGTCGAGGTTACGCAGCTCGTGACGGCCCGTCGTCCCTGCAATGGTCCGTCCTGCAGATCTGTCATAAAGTTCATAGAGTCAATTTTAGCGAAGATGCTTGTGACGGTACGTCGTGTCTACGACGGTCCATGCTGCATTTCCGTCGCGAAGTTCAGAGAGTCGATTCCCCGTAACCAAATTTTAGAGTTCAAGTGTTTTGGCACGAAGACACTCGATGGTCCGTCGTCACCATGACGGTCTATCGTGTGATCCGTGGACACAGTCAATTATTATCAAAAGTAATTCTACTGCTCGAAACGACTAAACAGGTCGTTACATGAGCCTTCTAGGAAGGTTAAACTACATCAACAGATTTATCTCTCAACTCACAACAACTTGTGAGCCTATCTTTAAGTTGTTGAAAAAGAATGCCACAGTCGAGTGGACCGAAGAATATCGAGAAGCTTTTGAAAGAATTAAGAATTACCTGTCGAATCCCCCTGTGTTGGTTCCTCCTGAGCCGGGAAGACCTTTGATATTGTATATGTCAGTACTGGATAATTCTTTTGGTTGCGTACTAGGTCAGCATGATGACACTGGGAAGAAAGAGCAGGCCATTTATTACCTCAACAAGAAGTTTACCGTTTACAAAGCGAAGTACACCCTTCTTGAAAGAACGTGTTGTGCCCTAACTTGGGTAGCACAGAAGTTGAAACATTATCTTTCATCTTACACTACTTATCTCATCTCTCGTATGGATCCGTTGAAATAAATTTTTCAAAAGCCCATGCCCACAGGCAGGCTCGCGAAATGGCAAATATTGCTCACAGAGTTTGACATTATCTATATAACGCGGACCGCAATGAAAGCTCAAGCATTGGCAGATCATTTGGCAGAGAACCCTATTGATGAAGAATATGAACCACTTAAAACCTATTTTCCAGATGAAGATATATCTTGTATCAATGAAGTTATTCACGATAATGATCAAGGTTGGAAGTTATTCTTTGATGGTGCCTCTAACAGGAAAGGAGTTGGAATAGGAGTTGTTCTTATGTCTGAATCGGGGGAATTTTACCCTATATCATTCCAACTTAGATTCTATTGTACTAATAATATGTCTGAGTACGAAGCGTGTATTTTGGGTTTGAGGTTAGCTGTTGAAATGGGCATCCGAGAATTGTTAGTGTTAGGAGACTCAGACTTACTAGTTCATCAAATTCAAGGAGAATGAGAAACTCGAGACCCAAAGCTCATACCATATCAACATTGTTTTGTCAACGATTCGTGTCGATAAAGTTTAGACACATTCGCAGAATGCACAATGAGATTGCAGATGCATTGGCCACTTTGTCTTCGATGCTCCAACACCGTGATGACACCCATATCGACCCTTTATACATACAAATTCATGATCAATATGCCTATTGCAACATGATTGAGGAGGAATTTGATGGTAAGCCTTGGTTTCATGATATCAAAACTTATCTTCAGTCTGAAGAATGTCCGTCAGATGTTACTAGTAATCAAAAAAGGACTATTCGACGACTAGCAAAGGGTTTTTTCTTAAGCGGAGGCATACTGTACAAAAAGACACCCGATTTAGGTCTTCTAAGGTGTGTAAATGCTCAAGAGGCTTCCACAATCATGATTGACGTACACTCAGGAGTTTGTGGACCTCATATGAATGGATATGTTCTAGCCAAGAAAATACTTCGAGCGGGATATTATTGGCTAATCATGGAGCGGGATTCCATACGATTTGTTTGTAAATGTCATGAATGTCAAATATATGGTGATTTAATACATTCTCACCCTTCTGAGTTGCATGCAATGTTGACTCCATGGCCTTTCGTGGCATGGGGAATAGATGTGATTGGACCGATAGAACCAAAAGCATCTAATGGTCACAGGTTCATCTTGGTGGCCATTGATTATTTTACAAAGTGGGTGGAAGCAGTAACTTTCAAATCAGTGACTAAGAAGGTCGTGGTGGATTTCATCCATTTCAACATCATCTGTCGGTTTGGTATTCCAAAGGTGATTATAACTGACAATGCCGCATATCTCAACAGCCACTTAATGCGAGAGGTATGCTACCGATTTAAGATTAAGCATCAAAATTCGACTTCGTATCGCCCAAAAGCAAACGGGGCTGTAGAAGCTGCTAACAAAAATATAAAAAAGATACTTCGTAAGATGGTGCAAAGTTCTCGACAATGGCATGAAAAGTTGCCTTTTGCTTTGTTGGGTTATCTCACTACAGTCCGTACGTTAGTGGGCGCTACCCCATATTCACTGGTATACGGGATTGAAGCAGTTATACCTGCAGAGATTGAGATCCCATCTTTACGAATCGTTGTGGAGGCTGAAATTGATGATGATGAATGGATCAAAACTCGGTTAGAGAAATTAATTTTGGTTGATGAGAAGCGTCTGACATCAATATGTCATGGACAATTATATCAGAAAAGAATGGCACGGGCATACAAAAAGAAGGTGCGTCCCAGACATTTTGAAGAGGGTCAATTAGTGTTGAGACGCATTTTGCCACATCGTGCTGAAACCAAAGAAAAATTTTCTCCAAATTGGACAGGACCATTCGTTGTTAAAAGGGTATTACCCAATGGTGCTCTTTACTTAGAAGATATAGAAGGCAAAGTGACAGAAACGGTTATCAATGCTGATGCTGTGAAAAGATATTATATATGATTGAGTTTCGACATTAGAAACCCTTATGTTTGGGCTTGATATTTCAAGGGTTGATGCAACGGGATCTCTTGGTTATGCTGTGTCATTGACTTTTCAAAAAAAATAAATAAAACAAAAACAAATTTCCTAAACTACGTTTGACTTGATTCTTGTTTTGGCAAGATACGTAGGCAGCCCTAATATTGGGTTCGGTTCAACCAAATACAAATCCAAAAATTCATATTGTAGTATACTGGGGCAAAAGTCATTTGTTTATTTATCCGGTCTCTCATCTCAAAGCTCAAAATCAACCCCATCATCTAATGTCAAAAAAAAAGTCTTTGCATCAACCCTTGATATGTCGAGAATAAGTTGGTTAAGGGTATGTAAAAATACTGAATGGGCACCATAAGACAAATGTGAATAAAAAGAAATAAAAATGAGAGAGTCTTATTGGTGAGAACCCTAAGTGGGCACCGTAAGGCGCAAAGGAGTTGAATATAAGAGAGTCTTATAGGTGAAAATTCTGACATCCACCATAAGTCAGACGTGAGCTGGAGCAATTAACATGATAGAGTTTTAGTGGCAAAGACCTTCGTGAATATCACAAAGAGTATAAAGGTTCCAAATTATTTATGGCTTCATTAAGTGTCGGGATTTCATATAAAGATTGACTGATCAATACTGGTTGATGAATAGATTTGATAGACAAGTCTGGAAATCAATTCAAATTGCATGGAATGATCAGTAAACTCGGCTCCCACACTCAGATAAGTTTTTCTTTCTTCTTCTTACTAAAGAAAAAAATAGTCTTCATCAAATCTTTTCTTTGATTCTCATATAGTTCGCAATTTTCTTATACCTTTTTTCGTCACTTTTTGGTATGTATTTGAGTCGAGTCTTTGTCAAAAAAAACTATGAAGGAATTTCAAGACTCGCTACCAAGTCTATAATCGGTACTAGGCAAAGCATCAGGATATTGAGTTAATCTTTCTTCAAGTGTTGAATTCGAAAATTCTCTTATCCTATGAAGGCTAAACAATGAGTGTTGTGAGATAAAGACATTGGATTTAGGTCCCAAAGTAAGCAAATTCGGATGAAAGTACTATCAATCAATAAGAAGTATTGACCGTTGGAAACAACCAAAATGTCATAAGTGTTTGAGCCGCCCTTGTCGAAAGATGGAACCACAAACCAACCAGC